TTATCTCACCTATAAAAGGAAGGTAGTGAACAACAACAACAACAACAAAAAACCCAAAAGCAAAATAGAACCAGAGGCATGGAAACAAAGACTGACAGTGACCAGAGTGGAGAAGGGAGGGAGATAACAGGAGTAACAAGGGATGGGTCTAGTCAAGGAACATGTAAAATGGCCCAAAGAAGTAGATAGCAGGGGGGGGATTGACTGTGGGAGTGGGGTATGGGGGGTGGGGCAGGGGAGAGCAATGGGAAAATTGCGACAACTGTATAGAACAACAATTTAAAAAAATATACAGTAGTTCAAGGATGGGGGTAGGAAGTGATGAAGGACATTGAGAAGGATCAGGATGTCAATGAGGACCCTCCTCCTGGCCATATTTGTCAACACCACAGCCAGCAGGATGGTACTGAAGAACAGGACATGGATAAAGTGGGAGCCGCATGTGCTCAGGGCTTTGACCGCAGCCCTCTCAGCCTTGAATCTAAGATTAGCTCTTAGGATGAAGGTGTAGGAGAGGAATGTGAGAATGAAATCTGAGCCCAGTAAGAACCTACCAACCAGCCACAAATTGGTAGATTCTGTTCAGGGTGAAATTGTCGCAGGAGGGCATAGACACAAGTTGGCACAGATGTAGTTCTCAATGACATTTTTTCCACAGCAATGGAGCTTGGCAGACAGAATGGGGACTGGTAAGAGCAGCAAAGCATTCCAAGCCATGATGAAAACACTAGCTTTGGCAGCATATTAGTTAGTGATGATGGATGAGTATTGTAGTGGGTAGAAAATGGCCATGTACTGGTCATAGGCCATGACTATGAATGTGCAGGACTCTATGGCAAGAAAACTATTCATGATGTACATCTGGAGGAAACAAGCAGAGAAGCCGGTGGACCTGAGGTCAAACCAGAAGATGGCCAGGACCTTGGGGATGACGGTGAGGCAGAGCATCATGTCCAACAGGGAGAGGAGGCTGAGCAGGTAGTAAGTACATGGGCTCGTGCAGAGACGCCTCCAGCTGGATGGTGATCAGCCAGATAGCTTTGGCCCCCATGAGTTTCAGTCATGTATTTGCATGAAGTTCCCAACCATAAAAAAATGGGATTCCTTGTAATAAAATATATGGGATTTCTGAAATTATAAAAGAGCATTTTCTTCCAGGAAGAACCTAGGATTTCTGAATATTCATGAATCCAGTGCCATTTCTCATGTCCTTTTACTTCTTTTATCATGGGAGCCGATATAATAATGTGTTTCCTGGTGACCTGGCACTTCCCACCCTCAGCCCTGGAACTCACAAGGATCAGCAGATCAGGACCCTGCCCAAGGAGCCAGCTGCTTACATCTATAAGCAAGAACTTGAACTGTTTCCTTGTCTCTGATGAAAAAATCTAGAGGATTTCATACTCCACAGTCAGTTCTTCACACTGCCCTACTCCCTTCTTCAAGCAGCTGGGAACAGTAGCAGTCTGGGATATTGGGTCCTGGCTGCTGGACCTCACAGGAACTTTCATCTTACCTTATGTTATGGTGCTACTGGGCACTAGTAGCTGAGACATGGGTAACAGGATTTGAAACTGACTTTACCTGCTTGACTCCATATGCCATCCTCTTAAACACTGTTTTAAAACATTTTCAATATCCCAAAACGGTACCTTTCCAGAATTTCTTAACAAAGCCCAAATTAAATTGAGCTATTTGATAGCTGCACGAATTTAGGAAGCTAACTAATCCTATGTAAACCCCAGTCATTGAATAAGTATTTATTATCCACTATATTTCCAGCACTAGAATAGTCACAGTAATAAAACAGTGAGTAAAGTGGTTAATGTTTCCACCCTTATCAAGATTCTATTATAGTAATTACATTGCATTATGGTATCAGTAGCTTCCCATTATTTATAAAACAAAACTAGCTTTCTTAATATGAACTACTCAAGACCTAGCACAAAAAAGAAGTGCCTTGCCTCTCCCCACATTTTCTAACCCACAAGTAACATTATCAATCTCACCCAAAGTCTGTGAAAGAAGCCTGTATGCTCTCTGTTAAAGAAGAATCTGATTTCTTTCACTTCTACTTCCACAGAGAATGGCTTTTCTTCCTCTCACCACACAGGCTGCATAATAGGAGTGAAACATCTCTTTCTCCCATGCTTGTGTTTTCCTATGATAAGAAGAATCACTAGTACAATTGGTCAAATGTTGTTGGGAGCAGTGGGCAGGGTTATTCCACACCAAGAATAAGAAAAACATTCCAACCTGTTTCACTTCCTGCCTGGAGGATCTGTAAGAGCACCAATGGAGTTTCTTTTGCTTTATTTTCAAATATCATAAACTCACCTGCCCATAGCCTCTTTCCTAGAGAGGAACCCAGAGGCCACCATTCTCTCCTTTGCATTTTACATTCTACTAGGGCTTCGCTTGTGGGGATCCTGCAATCCTCCCTGCAGATGATGGGGGTATATGTACTTGGAGCCAAATTTTCAAACCAAATCTCCCCATATTTAGCTGGATTGGGGGTAGGACTGTATCATAAAACATAAAATTTAGGGGATGAAATTGAGGGCCTCCTCTTTGTCCTCTGGTCCCAGCTATATTTTCCAATGATGACTTACCAGAGAGCTGAGCATATGAAATTTATTAGGTTTTTACCATTATTACTTTGATCCCTCTTTAGTTCCTTGTGTGTATTCTCTACTGCAAGGAATGCAGAAGGGATAAAGAGTGAGAAATCTAATCTCCAACAGCATTCCTAAGCATTTACTCAAAGAAACACCCTGTCTCTGTCAGGTGAGGAGCATCAACATCTAATTCTAAGAATGAAGATCTGTCCTCTTATCCAAAAGAGAAAATCACATTAAAATTAATAAAAGTAAAAAAGGAGCACTCACTTGCAGAGGTATCAGGTTGGCACAATAATTGAATTCAGTATCATAAATAATAATTGTAGATGTTTGTTGCCTTGGAGAGTAACTCAAACATGCAGCGTTGAGAAGTAAATGAAATGTATAAGACTCCTGCCTTCCTGAAGCCTACAGCTTAGCATGGAAGACATATAAGTAATATCACAAAAGTTAAAATTGTAATAATTCTGATTCCAGATGTTGGATTGACATAATTATTCTCTCCCCCCCCCCCGCCACCAACTCCCTGTTTGTCTCTCTAAAAGTTACCATTTTTTAAAACACTTCAGAACTTATTTATCTAATAACTGGAAGTTTGTACCTTTTCACGACCTTCACACATTTCTCTCTCACCTCACTTCTGGCAACCATCAAGTTGGTCTTCATTTGTATAAGTTCAGCTTTTTAAAAAATTCCACATTAAGTGATAACATGTAGTGTTTGTCCTTCTTTGTCTAACTTATTTCACTTAGCAAAATACCCTTAAGGCCCATCCATGTTGTCACAAATTGCAGTATTTCCTTCTTTTTTATTGGTCAATAATATTTTATGTACATATATTTTATTGATTCAATCATTTGTAAATAAATAGGTTATTTCCATGCCATGCCTGTTGTAAACCATGCTACAATGAACATGGGTGAGGAGATATCTCTTCTGGATAGTGATCTTGTTTTCTTTGCATGTATACCTAGAAGTAGAATTAATAGATTATATGCTAGTTCTATGTTTAATGGTTTGAGGGACCTCCATACTGTTTTCCATAGTGATTGCACCCATTTACATTCCCACTAACAATGCACAAAAGTTCCCTTTTCTCTATATTCTTACCAACCAAAGCTTACTTTTTCTCTTCTTGAAGACAGCCATTCTAACAGGTGTGAGGTGATATCTCATTGTGATTTCAAGTTGCATTTCCCTAATAGTTGGTGATTCTGAGCATCTTTTCATGGACAGGTGGAAGGGAAAATGGTGTTGGCAGATGTGGAGATGGGAAAAGGGGGGGAAATGGGGACATCTGTAATAGTGTAAAAAAATAAAAATAAAGTAAAAAAAAAAAAATTAAGGAGATGCTTCTGTGTTTCCAAACTCTGTCATTGCAGTGGCATCAAACAGAGGGAACTGAAGTCAATTCCAAGATAGAGTTGGTCTTCCAGGTTAGAAATAGAGTGAAAGCATGGAAACCCAGCTCCACGGATCCACAAAACATATGGTAGCACCTCTGTTTCCCAGCGTAAATGCTTCTCTTTTTTAGCAAAAGAGAGGAAACCTAGCTCACCTCTTCATTTTCCTCAACAGCCTACAGGGAATTCTGCCTATCTGCAAATTCCTGCACAATGGCCTACAGAGTCCTGCAATTTGGGCACAGAAGCTGTGACCTTCACAGCCTCTGAGGAAACTTACCCAAAGTTCCCAAATCAATTAATTCTCATATATGAACAAAGAAATAAGCACCAGAATCTATAGATATTGAGGAAAACTAGAATGAAAAAGAAAGTCCTCACTAAACAAGCAAAAAAATCTAATCTATTAGAAGACTGCATGGAGGAAAAAGGGACATTTGTAAAATATGTAATAATATTTTTAAATGGCCTCTTCAGCAAATCTTTGAGGTGGTAGAAGCATAAAGAAATCTCAGTCAGCAGCAAAGAAAAGAAACAGTTAATCCAAGGAGCCAAGGCTAACATTTAGTTGAATGACTATACAGTTCAAATATTTAAGCATGTTCATAATATTGATAAATGTTTAGCATGCATGAGCAAAGATAACAGGAAAGACACAAATAAACACAAATAGGATGAAATATGAGATACACAGTAGGCACAGTAGAAATAAAATAATAAGAAAGTGATGGGAGGAGCCGCCTCCGGGAGCCGGCTAGGGCAGTCGGGCCGCGTTGCCGGCCTTTGGGACCTCTGGGAGGCTCCAGGCGAGCTGGCAGGCAGCTTTAGACAGGCAGGAGACGCGGGGGCTTGTCCCACCTGAGGGCGGCTCTGGCTGAGGGCAGGGGGCTGGCGGAGCGCCCGAGGCAGCAGCTGAGGCCGGATGGAGGCGGCGGGGGCCCCTGCCCCCGGGAGAACAGACCAAGATGCGGCGGAAAACCTGGTGGAAGAGTTCAAGATGAAGGAGGACGAATTGTGGTACGACCACCAGGACCTCCAGCAAGATCTCCAACTTGCTGCTGAGCTTGGGAAGACATTGCTGGATCGGAATACAGAGTTGGAGGATTCTCTTCAGCAGATGTATACAACCAATCAGGAGCAGTTACAGGAAATTGAGTACCTGATCAAGCAGGTGGAGTTTCTGCGGCAGATGAATGAGCAGCATGCGAAGGTTTATGAGCAGTTAGATGTCACAGCAAGGGAACTGGAAGAAACAAATCAAAAGCTTGTTGCTGACAGCAAAGCCTCACAGCAGAAGATTCTGAGTCTGACTGAAACAATCGAGTGCCTGCAAGCCAACATCGATCACCTCCAGAGCCAAGTGGAAGAGCTGAAGTCATCTAGCCAAGGAAGGAGCAGCCGGGGAAGTGTGACCAGAAGTCAGCACCCAGCTTCTCATGTCTTGAAGAGCTCCATGACCTGCGCCAACACTTCGTGTATGACCACGTGTTTGCGGAGATCACTTCCTTGCCAAGTCAGCCAAGCGCTGAGGAAGAGGACAACAAGCACTTGAAGAAGGCAGTGAGGACGCTGCAAGCACAGCTGAGCCTGGAGTGGCAGAGGCGGGGCGGGGTGGGGGGTGTGCCTGGTGAAGGAGTATGGGCTTTTGTGCTGAAGGAGGACGTAGAGCTGCAGCAGCAGCTGGGGACCGCCAGCATCTACCAGGCCCGGGTGCTGGAGCTGGAGGCTGAAGTGGCTGAAATGCGGAGGGTGCTGTAGTCGGAGCGTTCCTTCGTGAAGGGGGTCGAGAAGCTGATGCTCGATTCCCTATTTGTCCCTTTCAAGGAGCCTGACCAGAGCCTGCTCGAGGAGATGCAGCTGACGGTGCCTGAGGCCCAGCAGAGGCCCCTCAAGCGCAGCAGCAGTGAGACAGTACTCAGTAGCTTGGCAGGCGGTGACATCCTGAAGGGTCACGAGGACACATGCATCCGGAGGTCCAAGGCTATGAAGCAGAGGGGCGTGTCCCTGCTGCATGAAGTGGACACTCAGTATAGTGCCCTGAAGGCGAAGTATGAGGAGCTGCTGCGGAAGTGCCAGCAGGACGGGGACTCACTGTCCCACAAGGCTGTACAGACTGCCAGGGCTCCGGCTAGGGACCCAGCTGCCAGGGACTCAGCTGCCAAGGACCTGACCACCACTGGCACCCCTGAGCCTGCCAGCTCCCCCAGCAACACAGCGCCTCCGGAATACAAAGTGCTCTTTAAGGAGATACTCAGCTGCATCCAAAAGACAAAGCAGGAGATCCAGGAGCAGAGAATGAAATTTCGCTCTCTCCCCTCTCCTTCCTAATGGGGCCTCAGCTCCCCTGCTCATTTCCTGTCTCCATCACCCCTCTCCCATTCAGATAAGCATTTGTAGAGCCCAAAGCCTGAAGCTGCTCAACATGCTTTGCTTACTTAGCAAGTGTGTTATGTACAGCGAGGAAGGAGTCTGATGGCTCCTGGTATCAGTTCCCTAACCCAGTTCCCTTTAGCCCCTCAAGAAGTCCTATGACAAACTGGCCTCTAGCTGGCACGCTGATTAGGCTGCCATTCCATGAGAAGCCCCAAAAGCAGGGGTGGCAGAATTATGCTCCTGGAGAGGTAGGCCTGGAGTTTCCATAGGATGTAGTTATTTATATACAGTGCATAGTATATCCTGGAAAAGGCGAGGTTGAAGAAGCTAAGGCAATCCCTGCTGTCTTCTTGCTTAACTGCTTGAAACTGTGGAAGTCAGCTGCCACCTGAACTGTCTTCACAAACAGTGTTGGATACCATGAATTCATTAAGAAGAACATTCAGGAGAAAGTAGGGGTCTAATCCAAAGAAACAGTATTAACAAATACTCCACAACTTTGAGTTTCATTTGTTACCAGTCAACTGTGACAGGTAATCCTAACAGATCTAAACCCATTGAGCACCCCCCTGAAAGGCAAGCTCTGCTTGAACAGAGTTAACCTATCAGCTCCAAGGTCCCCCATCCCACATCCAAATGTCTTCATGCAAAGTACAGTGGTTAAGATAGCTGAATACACACATCTTTTCATTCTTAAAATTGAAAGGGGACAAAACTCTCCCATGCTGTATGACCCAGATGACCTGTTCAGTTCCTGCTGTTCCTGTCAGTGGTTTGATTTGGCTGCCAGCATTCCCACCTGCTGCTTTATTGAACAGTATTGGCATTCTAACAGTGGATATAGACTCCTTGTACTTGCATTATAGTACAAGTTTAGTATAGTATAGTTTAAAACTATTTAAGAGAACTGAGGACCCAGTAATTGTATATATTTTTCTAAAAAGCAAATAAAGCTACCTATGAAAATGAAACAAAAAGGAAGTGATGAAAAAATCTTCTGATAGTAAATCTGACTAATTAAAATACAGAGATTTTTAGACAAAAACAACAAAACTTTTCCCAAGAAAAAATTTTTTTGAATTCTTTGGGCAGAATACACATCCCATGTAGAAGATCTGAGATGATAAACATATACTTATCAGGTTGTAAGGTTATTCAGCTGCAACAAAGATTCCCCCAAATACAAGGATAAGCAAAAGTAGGTTTACAACTGTATGAAAAAAGACATGCGGGTTATGATTATAAAAATATCACAAGAATAAACTCTGTGTTTTGCATACTCATAACTGTAAACCTTCTTTTGCCAACCCCTGTATAGTATCTTAAACTAGATACAAGTTTACTTCTGTCTCAGGTTGAAATTAGGGCTGGTGGCCCAGGAAGCCTTGGGAACTCAGGTTCTTCGGTAGTGTTGCTCTGCCCTCTGCAGCTCATGATTCCATCTCACAATCAAAGGAAGCTGCTTCAGATCCCACCATTCTATCCACGTTCCAAGCTTCAACAAGTAGTATAAATGGAAGCAGAGAATAAACTGCTTCTTTTTATGATCTACCCAAACTAAGTACCCCTAGAGTCAAGAAAGTTGTTTTCCAACGGATACGATACACCCTAGCCTGGGCTTTGCCAGGACAGCTTACCAGAGTTTAAGTCCTAGACCTAGAACCAAGGTGGTGAAAATGGGTAATTCCTCCTGCAATAAGAACAGCTCACATCACTCACTTCTATTTCATCCACAGGTACCAAACAAATTAAATACTTAATACTCACTCCCTATAACAGAAAACTCTTTATTAGGAGTATAATTTACAAAGAAAAGAGAAATTGAAAATAATAACCATCCACTCCAATCCTTCTACCACTATCAAATCCCAAAATGGGATCATCTCCTCATTTGAGCTTCTTGCCTAAAAGTAGCAATGGCTTGATTTTTTCCAAGACTGAACAAATGTGCTCTTTTTAAGGCACACAAAAGAGTTAAGCCAAATCTTCGGGCAACATCCAAAAAACAGGAAGCAATACACCAATTGTGACAATACTTTTATAAGTTTTAACCCAGTTCTTGTTAGCAGAAATGGGAGGTCTAATTGACCTCACTCCATATCCACATTTCAGAAAGAGAAATTCATTTTTCAAGTAGCATAACTACTTCCATATTTATTAATAAAGTTACCAACTTTACCAACTACATTTACCAACTTTAACACATTTTACAATTATTAGATAATCATAATTACATGGTTTCTTTTACTTTATTAAATTAATACTTATAAAACACACATATACTCAACATTTGGTCTTATTTAATTCTCTTTATTCTAAGCAAAATAAGTAAGTAAGTTAAAATACAATGAATTAAAAATACAGACTTAAAGAAACTATGGTACATTTACACAATGGAATACTATCCAGCAGAAAGAAAGAGCGAGCTACTACCCTTCACTACAGCATGGATGGAACTGGAGAGCATTATGCTAAGTGAAATAAACTAGGGGGCAAAAGACAAATACCATATGACCTCACCTATAAGTGGGACCTAACCAAAACAAACACGCAAGGAAAATATAACCAGCAACATTGAAAGAGAAAAGAAACCAACAGAATCAAGAGGGAAGGAAGGGGGCCAGGGAAAGGGAAGGGAAGGGTCAAGTCAAGGAACATGTATAAAGGACCTATGGACAAAGCCAAAGTGGGGAAGGATTGAGGGAGGGAGGTGGGGGAGGGGGCAGGAGGAAGTGGTGGTGGGAGGGTGGAGACAAATGTATTTGAACAATAAGAAAATTAAATAAAAATCAAAAATAATAAAAATAAAAATACAGACTTACTTTACTTTTTTGAAACTAAGGATTATAACATGTTATTCCTAGAACACATTATATCACCTGCCTCATTTAAGTTTCCTTTAAAAAAATGAGTAATAGCCATATTTCAATGAAATATGTGTTTTCTCACATTGTGGACATCTCTAATGTTTTGAGAGAGACACTTGTTACACAGGAGTCCAGTGACTTAGAGCTCACAGCAATTTGAGGATTTGAGGACATTCTAAAACTAAAACCACACAAAGGTTGGGAATTCCCATTCTCATTCTGGATGATATTGCACAGTCATTAAATAAAGGCAGAAAAACAGCATACCCAGAGTCAATTTATCCTATCTCCAAGTTTATCTATCACAAAGAGCAGGGAAATGTTGGGATCAGAGCAAAACAATGAATGAGGAAAGTCTTTACAAATCCAGTTATCTAGGTACATCCCAAATGGCTATGACCTTACTCTGTATGGCTATGGAATGAAGTGCCCATGACTATTTGCCATGAGACTAATAGAAGGACTTCTCAGTATGGGATGGCCTCTGTCCACATAGCCTAGAAAGTCATGGGCAGTGTCTTCATCTGGAACTTCTGAAAAAGTACCTGGATTGTGTTAATATCTACCCTTTTATGTAGAACACTCTGAGTACTCGCTGGCGGATCTGCCCAGTCTTCACACCATAGACAATCGGATTGAGTGCAGGGGGCACAAGGAGGTACAGCGTAGCCAGAAGAACATGGACATGATGGGGTACATGGTGGCCAAAACGGTGAGTGAGAAAGGAAAACATTCCAGGAACATAGAAGACCAAGATGACACAAATATGAGACCCACATGTGCTAAAGGCCTTCAGTCGGGCCTCATGCCCTGGTACCTTCAGCACTGCCTGGAGGATGAGGACATAAGAAATACCAATGGCCAGGACATCTAGTCCAACCACAAGCAGTGCCACTGCCAACCCATACATTCGGTTCACTGTGGTTTCTGAGCAAGCAAGTTTTATCACAGCCATATGTTCACAATAGGCATGGCCTATGATGGTGGCCTGACAGAAGACAAGTCTCCCCAATAGGATAGGGAAGGGGAGCAAGAGGGTCAATCCCCGCAGTAGCACTGCCATTCCAATGCGTGCTATGATCCCTGGATATAGGATGGTGGAATGGTGCAGAGGGTGACATATGGCTACATAGCGATCCAGAGCCATGGCCACAAGTACACCTGACTCCATGGAAGAGAACGCATGGATGAAGAACATCTGGATCAGGCAGACAATATACCCAATCTCATGGGCATCAACCAGAAGCACTGCAAGCATTTTGGGTGCAGTAGAGGAGGCCAGGACCAGGTCAATGCCAGAAAGCATAGCCAGAAAGAGATACATAGGCTGGTGTAAGGATGGGTCAGTCCAGATGATAAAGAGGATGGTTACATTACCCACTAGAGCAAAGAGGTAAAGGACACACATTGGCAATGCTATCCAGTGCTGGCTTTCCTCTAAACCAGGTATGCCAATTAGGAAAAAAGAAGGATGGAGAAGACTCCAGCTGGAATTACTAAGGACCGTCATGAATGACTCAGAGAGGGAAGAGAGAAAAGAACCAAAATCATGATTTCTCCATTCCGGATGGGTTAACACATTGTCCAGACCTGGCTGACATCTTCGTGAAAAGAAAGAGGCCTAAACTGCAACACAAGGGAATAAAGATACAAGAAAGCAAATCTTTCATTTTGTTAAGTATATTTTATTGATTATGCTATTAGAGTTGTCCCATTTTTATCCCCTTGTACCCTGTACCACCCTCCCTCCAGGATTCCCCCTCTTAGGTCATGTTCATGGGTCATACATATAAGTTCTTTGGCTTCTCCATTTCTTATACTATTCTTAACCTACTCCTGTCTATTTTGTACCTACCAATTATGCTTCTTATGCCCTCTACCTTTTCCCCCATTCTCCCCTCTCCACCTCCCCGCTAATAACACTCCATGTGATCTCCATTTCTGTGATTCTGTTCCTATTCTAGTTGTTTGCTTAGTTCGATTTGTTTTTGTTTTTATTTTTGTTTTTTTAGGTTCAGTTGTTGATAGTTGTGAGTTTGTTGTCATTTTTACTGTTCATAGCTTTGACCTTCTTTTTCTCAGACAGGT